TGCGGCAGCTCGGCGCCGGCTCCGCCGCCGTGGTGGTGAACATGGATGCGCGGCGCCTCGAGCGGCCCCTGCGGCACTTCTGGAGGAGCACTGGCTTCTGGTAAGCGAGCGCAGCCCTCGCAAGGAAGGGGCTGCCTGTAGGCCCCACAGTTGGAGAGAAGTCCTTGTGAGCAGGAGTCCCAAGGCGTATCAGCCCTGACTTTCTGGAGGAGCCTCTTGCTGTGGGGCCACAAGACCGGGTCCCTGACAGCCCTTTGCTGTTCAGCCTGCTTGTGTGTGTTGGAAAGCAGGAGCTGAGAGTGGGCCATAAAACAGGTGCTAATTGGCATCCCTGCCTCGTGCCTTTCTTTCTAAGTCCCGTGAACATGCAAAGTGTTTTCTTCTCTCCCAGAATGGCACACTGATTGATGTTCACATGATGTTCCCTTTCATTGTCAAGTGTTTCCATTATTACAGTCCCTAAATAGATCCAGGCAGAATCTCTCTGTTAGTTAGTTCTGGGAGTTTCATCTTGCAAGATGTTTAGCTGTTGGCCTGCACCATCCTCTTGATGTGGCTTTGAGTCTGGCTGATCTAGGTCAGGGGAGCAGAAGTCATGGGTGACCCCAGCTCCTGTACACCTTCCCTGCCAGTGCTTTGCTTCTCTGCCTCACCCAGCTGAGCTGAGTGGTATTGCAAGAGGAGTCTCCAGGGATGTCAAAGCCCAGGGAACAGGGGAGCAGATATCCCTCCATGTGGAATTTTCTCTAGTGTTATGTTAGTTTTGATGGAGTAAGTAGACACCAAAATCATATTAACATGACTATTGCTATACTGCCTTGAGCAGATAAATAGCATCAAGAAATCTCAAACCACTTACTTCCATGCTCTCTTGTGAAGGACATGCATCAGATGCATGGCAGAAGAGTGTGGAAGCTCTGATCCCGCCTCCAAAAGGTGTAGTTTTTGTGTTAAAGAAAGCATTGATGTCATTATATGGACTTTGGCAGGAAGAGCAAGACCATATTTGTCTTACTACAGTCCTGGGAAAATCTGACTTCCATTCCAAAACCTAAAAGACTCTTCAAAGGTTTCTATATCATTAATTACTCAGAGACAAGTTGACCATCATTGTCTAATGTCCTCAAACCAGCTTTGCCTTAGCTTGCTGCCTAGGAAACTCTGACCACTTTTTACACTTTCGTTTGAGCTTGGTAAAGAGATGCACTCAATTTATGCTGCATTTTGCCAAAAATGTGTGTTATCCCTTACCTCCGGCTCCATTTTGCTTTCCTACCATACTAGACAGTGCTCCTCCTGCTTACCATAACCTTACTATAGACTTAGCAGAGATTGCTCTGCATACCAAATGGCAGCTGCTGGGGCAACTGATGTTCTCCTTTATGTCCCTCTTTCCCAAAGCCCTCCTCTGCCTCATAGCCGAGCTGATCTATTTGACCTGAGCAAAGACCAAGAGATGAATCTTGCCTACATTTCTTCTGTTCCGCATGATGGCATTGAGCAAGTTCGAATTCACTGGTTACTGGAACTAGTTACTGTCAGGTAAGCAAACATTACAGTGAAAATTTCCCAGAGAAATAGTTGTGACCCACAGAAAGATTCATCAGGTGATTGCTTTGGTATTTGTCTCAGCATAGCTGCAAACTGAGCATGTCTGTATTTTCCTAGGAGTAAGGTAAGTACTTAAAGGAAGGGCTGCAGGGAGGAAATCAGTTTGGGTCATATATGAAATTAAGACAGAGAAGGCTGGTATTGAGAAAGATATACTAATGTTATACACATGATATCATAACCACAGGTTAAGGGGAAATTCAAGGTTTACTTTCATCTGAAGAGTCCTGTGGGTAGCCTGCTCAAGTGTTACTGAGACTCTCTCAGATCATACCTCATGATCATTCCACCTCTCCCATGCTTCCATGCCCAGCCCTTAGGCCCATGAGTCCCAGTCGTAACATCACCTCCAGAGAGACCTCAGGCTAGCAGAGATGGATCTCATTGACCAGTACATACTTCAAGTGCTAATTCAGGTTTTTCAACTGGGTACCTCCACTCTGAATTCCTTGTGGTACCATGTGGAAAAGTGAAATCTAGAGGAGCCTCTACTTCTCCTGTATGCAAAGTGATGTTCTGTTTTGCAGCCAGAGCATCTATGACAGCTAGTCTCAGGTGGATTCCAAACAGCAGTCACTGAGGCTGTTCTTAGAACTCGTACAAGGATCATCACTGCCGTTCCTTCAAGCCTAGCAGTGTAATACAGTAATACCAGCAACTACTCAGTGTGAAAAAGTTTGGCTGCGATGATCCCAGGAGAAGCTAGACTTTGAGAATTCAGTTTCTGGTCTGGGTATCAACAGCTTGACTGCTTCCATCTGTGTCTAGAGCACTCTCCAGCCTTAAAACTTGGTTCAATATTCAGGCCTATGTGTTATGTTCCTTCTAGATGGATAGTGGATGAATCTCTGAGAAAAGCTAAGAATGGGGCAAGAATAGAGTAATACACATAGCTTCAGTGCATTTTTTACCAAAGTACTTCAGGTGGCAGTGTTGCCTCAAATAAGACTTCTCACCAGACCTGTTAAGAGGTGTACGCGCTGCAAACCATTGGTCATTCTAAGAATAGTGCTGAGGAATCAAAAATATGTCTTACTTTTCTGTATTTTACTTTAGGAAATCCTGCAGAGCAAAAACAAAAAGCAAAATATATCTATAAAGAAAAGCAAAGATTCGAACTGGTTAACTATACTAACTGTGACATCCAAAATAAATCATTACCTCTAGCTCTCTTACATGTAACTTTGGAGTTTCTTTTTATATCCTGATGTTAACTGTGCCCTACCCTCAAGGGGCAGGTAATGACAGCACTGACAATGGGGCATGGAGGGAGATATGGGAAATGCAAATGATGCCTAGGACAGGCATAATTAGTCTGTGAGGAAAGACAAACTGGGAAAACAAAGAGTTGTAGTATCTCTTACTACAGTCTGGTGCAAACTGTAGCCGAGCTTGTTTTTCTCTTCTTCTATATTTACAATCACGTCACTGCTGCTTCTGCAGGCCCAAGCACAGTAAGGTGGAAATTTACTAGCTGTGCATTTGGGGCATCAGTGAGGTGAAGAAGGGCTCATATAGACCACAGAAAAGCATGTGAATAGAGGAGTGGAGGATCTCAGGGTATGCTTTAGGAATAGCCGGGATTGTGCCACTCACATGCCCATGAGTGTATGGGGGAAAGTCATCACCCTAATCTGAGAATCTGGATGCCGTGTTGCTCACGAGTGGCAGACTGGGAAGTCTGGCGGCTGGTGAGTCTGCTCATCCGCTGGAGCAACCAGGAGCTGGGATCCTGGCACACAGTTGCCTGGGCTGGCCCTGCTGGGGCATCCCTTCCCTATGGTTGGACTTGATGATCTTGGAGGTCTTTTCCAACCATAATGGTTCTGTGATTCTTCTTGATTGTTGGGTGTGCTTGTTGTGTGTATGTTGGGAAGGTGATGCTGCACACAGATGAGTATGACACCTGTATCTTAGGGTGCCATCTGTGAATATTGCAAAAACAACAGCTTCTCCTTCACGTCTTTCCCTGTGAATGTTTCCCTGTAAAAACTCTCTCTGTGCTGTGCCTCCCTCTTTTACTGGCCTGCATATTTTGTCATCTTGCAGTGACCAGCTTCAGTAGGAAAGATGATGTTTGACCCATAAGGGTCTTTACTGAGAGATGCCTTGGGTCCATGGCCACCTCTGCATATCAAAGGCCAGAATCGCCCCTTGTAGCCTGTCTTAGCTGTGTCATGTGTTGAATTGGACTTTTTAAAAAAGATCTTTGAGGCACAAGAATAACTCTGTTACAAGTTCTGCTCAGTCTTTTTAGAGGGCTAAAGCTCTTCAGAGTAGGACCTCCCTGACATAGTAAAAATTTTGGGGGTCTGCAAATTTAGTCAAGTAGGAACTCAAGAAGTGCCAGAAAAGCTATAGTGCTACCTAGTTTAGGTACTAGCCCATCAGCTTCAATATTTAGCCTGCCTTTCACACAAAAACTTTGCTGCTGATAAGAACCTAGCTAAAAGTGCTCATATTGCATTAATGTAAATTTGTCAAAGGCAAGAAGACATTTAAGCTGTGGAAGGACAGCCAATGAGCTGAGCAACTGCAGGAAGAGAGCTTGGAACCTGTGGGAAAACACTGGACCTGGAAAAGAAGGAAATGGTTGAAAGGAATTCTGGCTGGATGGCAGAGCTCAGAGGGTGGTGATCAGCAGTGCAGAGTCTAGTTGGAGGCCTGTCGCTAGCGATGTCCCCCAGGGGTCAGTCCTCAGTCCAGTCCTGTTCAATTTATTCATCAATGACCTGGATGAAGGCACAGAGTGCTCCCTCAGCAAGTTTGCTGATGATACCAAACTGGGAGGAGTAGCTGATACCCTAGAGGGCTGCGCCTCCATCCAGAGGGACCTGGACAGACTGGACAACTGGGCGGTGAAAAACCTCATGCAATTCAACAAGGCCAAGTGCAAGGTCCTGCACCTGGGGAGGAATAACCCCAGACACCAGTACAGGCTGGGGACCGAGCTTCTGGAGAGCAGCTCTGCGGAGAGGGACCTGGGTGTCATGGTGGACAACAAGGTGACCATGAGGCAGCAGTGTGCCCTCGTGGCCAAGAAGGCCAATGGGATCCTGGGGTGCATTAAGAAGAG